GGTTTTTATTAGTATGTCGGGTTAATCTTCTCAAAGATGCATTTCTATCCTACAGAGAAAAAAGTCCCTCAGAGAGTAAGGAAGATACAGCCATTTACTTGAGTAGTAGAATACATAGTAAGGAAGGAATCAAAGTGGAATTCTGTTTCAAATGATGGTCTAGCCTGAAGACAGTGGAAAGCAAGTCTCTTGGTCCATCTGTATCCAGTGATCTCTTAGAAATGAACATACATTTCTCATCTTTATTGGGAGCTTGTTGATTTTAAATAGGCAATTTGCATTTCTTCCCTTTTTCATGGTCTTGCAAGTAGTAATAAAATTGGAGAAATGCAGTGCTGAAAATGAAGTGTTGGTAGTTTTGTTTTCTTTCTTGGTGCTCTGCACGCCAGGCCTTCCCTTTTTATTGCAAAGGTGAAGCAACAAGGAGATTTACTAGAAACAGCAGCTCTGAGCACTAAAACTGGGGCAAAATGGGTGACTCTACACACAACCAGTAAGATTCAGACATTTCTTTCAGTTTGGTTGTAAACTTCTATAGAAATGTTTGTGTTTGAGTCTCCCAGCCCTAAAAGAACACGGGTTTTTCCCCATATAAGGTATATGAGCAGAGAAAGGGATTGTGTGCCAGCTATTAAAACTGACTCAGTTGATTCAGTAACATTTTCTTACGTTAGTAAGATTAAAATTCTCGGCATCATATTTGCACATTGAGTCGGATTCTAAAAGCCATTAAAATATTTATCGCAACCGCAGGAGGCACCTCCTTCTCGCACGGAAGGAGTGACAACCTCCGTCTCAACAGCGACACGGGGTTCGGGTGTCAGCCTTGCAGGTGACAACCCGAGGTCCGGCTGTTGCAGCAGTTACTCACGGGAGGCGTCCCCGCAACACAAGGAGCAATCACCTTTCCTGAAACTTGTTTTAGAGGGATGCAAATGCGACCCTACTCTGTAGCTACGGTGACGTTCAATTACCAATCGCTTATAATTAAAAAAAAAATAAAGTTAAATACTGCTGGAAAAGAAGATGATTTGAGATTTTCCTCTGAAACCAGTGAGTTGTCCCCAACGCTTCTGCATCACTTTGCTGCACAGCCTGAGAGGAGCACAACTGAAGTAAACACGATGAATAAGATCTTCCCGCTACTGGGAGAGCCCAGAGAATGGGGAATTTCTGCAGGAGGAGGTGCTGCTTGCACCACTGCCACCCGCTGCCTAAGCGTCCGTGGGAGCCGGCAGGAAACTCCGAGGGTTTCTGTCCATGTGCCGAGCGGGAGGCAAAGCTGGGACTAGCCCGGGAGACGGGAACTGTGCAGGAAACCCCAACTCCCGCCTAGAACGAGGCAGGGCGCAGGTACCGCTCCCAGGCGTAGTTTGGGATCTCAGTGTGGGGTAGCACTGGCGGGGAGAGCGTTTGGCCTCCTGGGCGCTGGGAAAGACAGCGGGGACAGGAGTGCAGGCTGCCACATTTCCTTTCCCCAGCTTGGACTGCTCCCACCCAGGGGACTTTCCTTATGCCAGATCATACAGCCTATAGAGGCACTCTCCGTGTGCAAGACCATGAGCTCCCCTTACGGACGATCATATTGCCCATGCTCTTTGCGAAATCTCTTGCAAGACGAAGCTGCGCAGCCTCCTCCTCCATCACGTCTGCAGGCGACGCTCCCCGGGCCGTGTCCCCCGGCCCTGAGCGGGCAGGGCGGCGCGGGCGCCCCTAGACGGGGCGGCTGCGGCTGCGGGCCGCGCTCCCCGGGCCCTGCGGGGGCGAACGCGGCTCTTCCCCGCGGCCCGCGCCTCCCGAGGGCCTGCAAGGGCGCAGCGAGGCGGTGGGCGAGCCGCGCTCCTCGGTGGGTGCAGGATAAGGTGCTGCGCGGGGGCCGCAGGGCAGTCCCCACGGGAGATGTAGCGTCGGGCACGGCAGCGCTCGCTTCTCCTCCGTGGCAGCGCTAACAGGGCGCTTGCTAACGCCGGCATCTGCAAGGCGGCGGCTCGGGCCGCGGGCGCGTTTCTCCCGCCGCCGGGCCGCTCGCTGCCTGCTCGGGCCGCCGCTGCTCCCGCCGCGAGGATTTATGTCCAATTTCCTCTCTGGCGCGCAGGGGGCAGCTGCGCGCCCGCCCACGGGGCCGCGCCGCGGAGCCCTCGCCCTCCGCTTTCGCCGCAGGCGAGGGGCAGCGCGGAGCCCGGCAGCCCGGGGGGCCGCGCGGGGCAGCGCGGGGCCGCCCCCGTCCCGCTGCCCGTCCCCCCACCCCGGGGCTGCGGCGGGGCCGGAGCGGGGGGCGCGGGGACCACCCAGCCGGGCCGTAGCCCCGGGCCCGCCGCCCCAGGCGGCCTCGCGGCTCCCTCCGCCGCCGCCGCGCGCTCCTCCCGCCCGGCCTCCTCCTCCTCCCAACGGCGATGGGGGGGAGTAGGCGGGGGTGTAGAGGAAAGGCAGACGGGGTGGCTGCTAGGCAGGCTTGCTAAATTAGCGAAGAAGAATTACAGCCATTGTAAACTAACCGCAGGTATTTCCAAGGGCTTGGACGCGAGGCCGTGTAAATCAAGGGCTTCGTGGGCTGGAAACTGCCTGTGCCCGAGCCTGGAGGGGAGCTAGAGCAGAAGAAGCTGCTGCTGCTGCTGCTCCTCCTCTCCGCGCAGCCCAAAGGGCCCTCCTGCCCCGGCCCCAGCTCCACGTTCCGCCTGCACCTGAGGCGGCCCCGGGAAGGGCGCAGAGCTCCGCGCGGCCCCGCGCCCCAGAGCGCTCCCGCCTGCAGCCCCTCTCCGCCTCCACCCGCGCATCTTCGGAGCGCTGCCAAATCCAAGTCTCCCCTTAACATGCCCGCAAAGGGCACCCTGCCCGCGCGTCCCACCCGCGGGGACCTCAGGTGCCTCTCACTCCCTCCTCCACCCACCTCCCAAACTCCTAAAAAATATCCTCTTTGGATATTTCCCGAGTGCATCGTTGCACCGAGATCTGGCGTGGCAGAACCGACGGAAAACCTCTGAGTGGGGTATAGGGATAACAAACGAGACCAGGGAAGGATGACGGGCTGGATTTGCTCAAAGGGATAAGTCCTGTTCTTAACGAAGCAAGCAGATATACTCCTCGCCTTCACTCTGCCTATCAAAGCAGGGTTATTTATTTTATCCATTCGGTTCTTTCGAGCCAGAGTCGTTGATAATCAATTGCCGTGGCTTTGTGGTCGACTGCAAAGGGACACCGGTCTCTGCTCGATAAAGCAGAGAAATGTGGAAGGCGGCTCCGCGCCCCGAAGGCAGCGGGTTAATGCCGTGGGTGTCACTGTCCCGGGGGTGACGGCAGCGTGTTTTTGGTATGTTCCATCTCGGTACCCTGCCCTGTCACCCAGCACCAAAAATCAGGGTGCTGAAGTGCTCGCATTTCATTTGTAGGTATCCTTAATTCCCTTCCTCGCTGATATTCTAATGTTATTTCATCAAAAAAAAAATGCTTAATATAAAGAAAATCACAACGCACAGCGTTGTTTTCGCAATAGGTTGGATTTATATAACTCACATAAGGGGAATCGTTCCCCAAAAGTTTTATTTCAGGTAAAGAATCATTTGGCAAATAAATAATCAAACAAAAATAAAAAAAATAAAAGGAGCAGCCTTTTATTTGGGAGAAGCTGCCATCATAAAACGGACTTTAAAGTTCCACTGGCAGAAGAGGGTAACTAATAGAAAGATCTCATTTTTGAAAACCAAATAAACAGCAAAAAGCCGATTTTAGAAAATAGCTGCCGACATTCTGAATTACACGTATAAAGCGAGCGGCCAAGAGCCCGAGGGCTTTTCCCACGCCGTGAAAGCAGGGCGCGCACAGAGCCCTGAGCGCGATGCGGCCCCGCGACGCTCCGCAACAAGGAGCCCCGGCCGCACGGGGCGCCTCGCCGAGCGGGCCAGACGGGGTGTCCCACCCGCAACGGAGCCGTGATAGCGACTGGGTCAGGAAGAGGGGGGGAAAAACCCTGAAACCATTATCCCTAATTCTCCGAGTGGGAAAAAAAAAAAAG